AGACTCCAGAGCTCCACGGAAGTTAAATCAGACAGATTCTGCCAATGTGGCTGCCTCTCGATGGGGAAAGAGACTGAGTTGTGGTGCCTCCCCCTCAGCCCTCTTGGCAGGATTCTGAATTTGTGTTCATTCTCTTCGCAGCTGTGCAAATGTGTAACTCTGAGATAGGATTCTGTTTTCACAAAGAAAAATGCAACTCAATGTATTGAATTATACTGTAAAAGTATGGAAAAACTTGGACTAACATGCTATTTCTAAAGCTTAATGGTTCATATCAATTTTTTAAATACTATGAGTTCTGACTCTAAGGGACTATCTGATACTACTTAAAAAGGTGGAAGGACTCCTTTAGTTTCAAGTCACAGCCTACTTGCCAAGGATTGGATAACTTGGACAATGTGCAGAGCTGTTTGTGTCTGCAGCACCAGAGTCAAGCGCCTCAGCTCTCTCATGCAGTAAGCTCGGGAAGAGATGGAAACAGGAAAGGCAGCATGCATGTCCAGTGCAGCCCAAAAACCCCAGGAGGTTCCTCCCTTGAGGAACAATTACTTTCACGAATCAAATGAAGAAGGCTCCATTTGATCCCCTGCTCTCTATGGAGAGTCTATGCTTTCACCTTTCAATAAACTTTCTTTTTTGGGGGGGGGGAGAGTAGGGGGGTCCGGTCGTGGGGCCTGAACTCTGGGCCTGGGCGCTGTCCCTCAGCTCTTCAGCTCAAGGCTAGCTACCACTTGAGTCACAGCACCATTTCCGGCTTTTTTCTTTTTGCTTATGTGGCGCTGAGGAATCAAACCCAGGGCCTCAGGCATGCAAGGCAAGCGCTCTACCACTAAGCCACCTTCCCAGCCCTCAATAAACTTTCTCTGTCCCATTTAAAACAGAAAAGAAAATAAAGTGAATAAAATAAAAATAATAAAGTTAGATTTAAGATTTGGAGAAAAGCACCAACTGCCCTTTAGTGTTGTACAACACGCCTGTGTGTGCATTGGGATCACATCTGCCATCTGTTCCTTTGTGTCACCTGTGTTAACATGAGGTTCTATTGGTAAATGTGTCTGCCCCGGTTCAAACATATCCCCTAAAATTCATGTGTTTAAAACTTCATCCTAAGCACAATAGTATTGGGAGGTAGGGCTTCTAAGAGCTGAGTGTGTTGTCAGTACTCTATCCTCATAAATGGATTCATGCTGTTATCTTGGGAGTGGGTTATCACAATGAGATTTGCCTAAGAGGATGAGTATAGCCTTTTCTCTCTCTCTTTCTCTCTCTCTCTCTCTCTCTCACTCTCTCATACACACACACACACACACACACACACACACACACACATACACACAAATCCAGGCTGGTTGGGTGCAGTAGTTCATGTCTATAATTCCAGGTACTCAGAAGGTGGAGATCAATAGGCTCATGAGGCCAGCCAAGGAAAAACATAAGATTCCCCATTTCCACCAACAAGCCACAGACAATGGTGCATCTGTGGTCTTAGCTATTCAGAAGGCCCTAAGTAGGAGGATCTTGTTCCTATATCAGCTCCCTGGTCAAAAATGTGAGATGGTACCAGAAGAATGACAACAGAGAAAAATAAGGATTGGGGACATGGCTCAAGTGGTTGACCATCTGCTTAGCAAACTTGAGGCCCTGAGATCAAATCCCAGGGTCACCAAAAGAAAACAAAATCCAGCCTTAGAAATTCTTTCACAGAAGCATGAAAAAGACTACAACAGAAATCTGTACCAAGAGCCCCAGGGGTACTGTAACAAACACTTGAGTAAAACGTACATTTCTGCAAGTGTGGAAGAGGCTTTGAATCTGTACTGTCCAGAGGAATTCAGGATCCTGAACCCCAAATTCTGAGGTGTGGCATCCCTTCACCTCCCCAGTTAGGGCTCCAGTGGGGGCACACCCCACTGCTCTGGAAGGCATAATCCATGAACAGCATTCACCTGGTCTTGATTCCTCTGGAGGTCTGGTGCAATAGTTGTCTCTGCCTCATCTTCAAATGGACCCAGACAGCGTGAAGGCCCAGGTAGAAACTTCCTTGGTGGGGGGAGACAAGCAGCATGGAGAGTTTCCACTGGGGAAAAGCCTAATGGAGCCCCAGGAGTGAGGCCATCATGGGGTTCTTACCAAGGCAGTGCCTAATAGGACTATGGAAGTGGGTGGCCCTGAGACACCAGAACTGCAGGGCCACCAGCCCGGGAATGCTGCGAGCATGAGACTCCAACCCTTAGAGCTTCTGGGAAGACTGAGCACAGCCAAACCCATGAGTGGGGCTTCTTGAGGCCTTGGGACCAGGCTGTCTTCCAGTGTGTCCAGTGTGAGGGTCATGGAGTCAAAGGAAATTTTGCTGGAGTTGTAAGCTATAATGTTGTTCTCCCTCTGGGTTCTGGATTTACTGGAACATAGTTCATCTTTCCCTCTCTCCTCTTCCCCCCTTTAATTTTTTATTTATTTTGTCAGTTGTGGCACTTGAACTCAAGGCCTGGGCGCTGTCCCTGAGCTCTTTTGCTCAAGGCTAGAACTCTACCACTTTGAGTTACGGCGCCACTTTAAGTTTTCTGGTGGTTAGTTAGAGATAAAAGTCTCAAGGACTTTCCTGCCTAGGATAGCTTTGAACCACGGTCCTCAGATCTCAGTTTCCTGAATAGCTAGGATTATAGGTGTGAGCCACCAATGCCCGCTTCTTTCTCCCTTTAGGAAGGGGAATGCTGCTCCTCTCCCTTCCTATTTTTCCTCTCCCACACTTGCCCTCTGTCTTCTCTCTTCTGCCAATGAGAAGAGGCTCCCTCAACATGAGCTCCTTGAATTTGAACTTCTCAGCTACCAGAAACATAAAAAATAATTATCTTCTTTTTATAAGTTACCCAGCCCTGGATATATTCTGCTACAGTAGCATGCAAAAAAGAAGGTCTTTTAAAATTATTAGTATTGTACTCAGAAACTGACATGTTGAATTGAAATCCCTAAAAGATAAATCATTGCTAATCAGCAGTTTAAGGTACTTGGTGTTAACTCTCTATAATGTCTACTTATATGTTCTGGTCTTGGGGCTTGAACTCAGGGTCTGGGCACTATCTCTCAACTCTTTTGCTCAAGGCTAGCACTCTACCATGTGAGCCTTAGCTCTACTTCTGGCTTTTGGTGATTAATTGGAGGTAAGTCTCACAGACTTTCCTGCCAGAGCTGACTTTGAACCATAGTCCTTAGATCGCAGCCTCCTAAGTAGCTAGGTATATAGGCCTGAGCCAAGCCTACAATAAATTTCTTGTGGTTGGGTACGTTGTAAAGAAAAGAAGTCTAGTTAGCTCATAGTTGTGGAGGCTGAGCATCCAAGAGGGAGATATAGCACATGGCAATGCAGGAAGCCAAAGGGGAGGAGTCAGCCTTGTCCTTTTTTTTTAAATAACAATTTTCAGGAAAGATGGAATTTCAGGAAAACTACTTAACTCCTTCCTAGGGTGATACCCATCATCTCCCATGAAGCTTTACTTCTTCAAGGTCCTGCCACTTCTTCAGGTCATTAAACTGGTGACCAAGCTTCCAATACAAGAACTCCAGGGGGACACACCTAGATGTACATCAATTAGCACCTGTCCTGACCTCTGGCTTTCAGTGTTCCCCTGTCTTTAGAAAAGATAGCATCTAGTACTTCCCATGTCTAACACTTTGATCCAAATGCACAGCAGTGAGACGTGTGCAAGTGTCAATCACAGAACTTCAGATCTCAGAGTCCTGGGAGAAAGCATACCATGCTCAGGAAAATCCCAACTCCAGAGGGCAATGAAGTTCAGAATTCATGTAGTCATCTTACATTATCATGCATAGTTGTTTCATATACCCAGGGATCATTAAAAGGCTAAGAGGCCAGCCCACAGTCACATGTAATGTTTTGCTAGGGTAGAAAAGTCATATGAGAGTGTAAGACAGAAGCAGCATTTCCCAGATGACCTCGTGGGCATGGTGAGGGCGGGAAGGGAGCAGATTTCCTGAAGTGAAGGAGTTTAGGGTGAACTTTCAGGATGAGCCAGATTGTTGAGAAGGGAAGAAACACTGAAGAACAAATGAGCAAAGATATGAAAAAATGCAGAAGATAGCAGGCAGACTCAGGAAAGGTCTGGTTTGTTTAGCCAAAGCAAGAGTGCTATGGATGAGGATGGGAGGAAAAAACGGAGAGAGAGCAAGGTGACATCCAAAAAGAAATGTACTCTTTGCCTGACTTATGCGACTGTAACCCCTCTTTACTGTAAACTCTCCGTAACGATTTTTTTAAAGAGGGAAAAAGAGCTGGGGTGTAGGGATTAAGATCCCTCTCTTTCCCTATGGAATTGTGTGACAAATATTTTTTAAGAAAGTGTCTTTGGCAGCAAGGAAACCATGTATATAGTTGGGTAAAACGAACACCATTAAGTTCTTTCTATTCCTGTGTCCTGAGACTGTTTGCTTTACATTTCCTTGTGGCCGCCTCGACTTAAAACACTGCATGGTTGGAAAGGAAGCCACCAGGCCTTGGGAAACTCAGTTCCTCTTACAAAGGATTTCTGTGAGACTCTTCCCATAAAGTGTGCTGAAAACCAGAGATAGAGCTCTCCATACCTCCCAGGGGTCAGTCCTGGCCTTCCACAAAGCCGGTCAAGTCCTTTCTGAGAGTTGGGAAAGAACTGGGGAGACATGAACTATACTGGGAGCCCATTTTGGAAGCGGGGCCGTTGTAAAGGAGGACGAAGATCCTATTATATATGTGGTTGGATAGCCGAAGTGGCCGTTCAAAGTTCAGGAGTAAACAAGGAGGTGGAGATGTACTTGGCAGTCCCTATTTTACTTATTAGTACACTCAGTGGAAAAGTGGATGTTTGTTGATAGCTACAGAAAAGAGGGGACTTGGGGATGCAATGTGGAGTTTTTACAATCATTTCTCCCCCCCCACCCCCCCTGTATGTGTATACACTTTGGGAATGGTCTACTTTGACATAATAACAAATCTGTTTGTGTTTGCAAAGGATTAGCCACGGATCCTGCTTTGGGAACAAAACGCAGACAAGGATTTAGTAAATCTTCTAAAGAGGGCCAGGTAAGACAAAGCCACATCTAAATCTAGGTGCTGTTGGTCACATAAAGCTCGAGACACTGAGTGCACTTTGTGAGAGGAGGGATGCCCGGAGGGGGAAAGCTTGAGTTGAGAGAATGGATGCTTATCTATCTTGTCTTGCTAAGCACCAAGTCAGACAGAATATGTAGTCCTTGATTCCTGACCTAATAGGAGAGATGAATGACCCAGAAAGCTAATGCCTTATTTCTTTTCTCAAACACATCCCCACCCTCTACCCCCAGAGTAATTACCTGTGATTGGGACTTGTTTGTAAAAGCAGTTAAAAGCCTGTAGAGGCCTATGTTATTTAGCCCTCTCGATGGGGAAAGGTGAATGGCATTTCTTGTTGCTTTCAGACTGGCTCCCTGAAGCTTAGCAGGCTGGTGACCCATTACCCAGGAACCACATCCCCATGAAGGCTCATAAGTTTGTCTTCTTGAAGCTACCATTAGAACCCGATGTACAAGCTTCAGCCTATTTGCTCCCATCATATTTTCCACACATACCATGAAACACACCGATTAATAGGATGTTTGATTTAAGGATCCCCTAAGAAGTTTTGTTTTCATTGTCTTTAAGGCATTTCAGGTCAATGCTATTTTGATAGCATCGATACATAGAATTTGATAGACTCCTTTTGTGAACTATTGATTGGAGTATTGACGTTCTAGCCATATTTACTTTTTTTAACTAATTTTATTCTGCATAAAAGTCATGAGGTAACTACTTCAGTGTTTGCATCTAACATCGCTCTGTCATTAGTAGCTGCTCCGGTTTGAAGTGTTCTTCTCTGTACTATGTAGAGTTGTCTAGCCCAGGCCAGTTCACAGAATTTGAAAACTCAAAGCAGAGGGGAAAAGACTACAGCAAACTTCCTGCCGTGTAGAAAAGCATTCTAAAGGCTCATGTCATTTATCTATCACGGCCAGGTCAATTGTCCATTTTTGTGCCCTGACAGCCACAATGAAAGGTGGCATGCCTTTCCCTTCTCTTTGTCATAAGCCATGTCAAGGTATTTGAGGAAGCTCCTGTTTGTTTAGTTCTGGTACTGGGTCTTGAACTTGGCCTGAGAGCAGAGTTGAAGGCTGGTGTTCTACTTTGAGCCACAGCTCCACTCCAGCTTTTTGGTGGTTAATTAGAGATAAGAGTCTCACATTCTTTCCTTCCTGGGCTGGCTTTGAACTGTGATCCTCAGAGCTCAGCTTCCATAGTAGCTCAGGTTATAGATGTGAGCCACTCGCACCCTGCTGGAGATCTTAGATAAGGTGAACTGCTCCTCTCCCCTGGTCTTGAGAGACTGCCTTCTTATCAAGAGTAATGAGGAACTGGGACAACTCAGTTGCCTGCAGCGTTTGAGTTCTTTCTACTGATGTATCTAGCTCTCTCTGTCTCTCTCCCTCCCTTGCTCCCTCCCCCCCCTCACAGACACACTCACATGCCTCACACACACGCTTCACACCCTCCCCAGTCCAGCTGTACCATAGGAACAGTAGTGAAAGTTTCCCTCTCAATTCTGTGTGTTTTAACAGGTCGCTGATCAGCAGGTCGCTGATTGGTCTTGCTCGTTTTAGGTTTTATCATGGTGGCTTTGTTTTTGGTTTGTTCTGTTTTGTTTTGTTTTTGCCAGTGCTGGAGCTTGAACTCCGGCTCCCCTGCTCACAGCTGAGGGTATCTTACTTAAGCCATATGTCCACTTGTTTTTGCTGGAGATAAGTGTGTCTCAGATTTGTCTGCCCTGGCTGGCTTTGAACTTTGATTTTCAGATCTGTCTCCTGAGTAGGTAGGATTATAGGCATGAGCCACCAATGCCCAGCTACACTAGAGCCTCTTGAATGTACAAATGAACTCAAAGTTTCCCTTCCTCTACCAACCCTTCTTACATACACATTTTGGAGGTGTTTAAAAAAAATGCTCGCAATTTACAGGATGTGATACTTTCTGAAGGAATCCCAAGAACAAATAAATGTCTACTTTGTAGTAGAAATTAATAAACATTATTATGAAACTGGATTATGGTAACCCAGAAAAGCCTAAACTTTAGTAGATTTATTCTAACCTACACATCATCAGATATAAACTGTGAAACATAATAGAAGGATTCGGTGCCGTGAATTTAACTGAAGCATCTAAGCTTCTACCTTAAATCATGACAATTTTAAGACAGTAAAGTTTCCGCAAGCATGGCTCACACCTGTAATTCTACTATCTACTCAGGAGGCTGAGATCTGAGGATCAAAGTTCAAAGCCAGCCAGGTCAGCAAAGTCTGTGAGCTTCATCTCCAATGAACTACCAAAATGTTAGAAATGGAGCTGTGGGTCAAGTTGTAGAGTTCTAGCCTTGTGCACAAAAGCTTAAGGACAGTGCCCAGACCCAAAGTTCAAGCATCAGTCATTAAAAAAAAAAAAATCTAATGGGTGCTTGGAAGTCAGATTTTTTTTTTTGGGGGGGGGGAATGAAGAATGTCCAGAAGGGGGCAGAAGGGAGCTGACCATGGAGCCAGGAACATCTGTATCTCAATCTGTCCGTAACTCACGGGCATTCTTTTATTATTATTATTTCCTAATACTTTTTTTGCAGGTTTAGCTATAAGGGGGAGGGGGGAAAAAAACCAAACCACCAGGCCAGAGTGCAAGGTATGTAACCTTTATTTTATGTACGATATATATGTTTATGGAAAATGACAGTTTCTTAAAACAAAAGAAAAAATGAGATTAAAAAAAAGGGTATGCGTTACATGTTTCAAATTCCTTAAGACACAAATTTCAAGAGATCAATTACAAAGCACAGTTACATCACAAAAGGTAAGTCTTCTTTGAATAAAAGGTAACAATGACTTAAACTGGTCAATTACAAATGCACTTTTCTATGCACAATTAAAAGCAATTCGAGGGAACTTAAAGCAGTTTGAGTAGTAGTAGTTTAAGCGAGGCAAAAAATAAAATGAAAGAAAGAGGAAAAAAAGTTGTGTAATATATTTAGGATATATATTTTTTAATTCCACTATATTTTCTTAAATTCTTGTTAAAAATATAGTCAATATTATAGTCAGCAAAACACCTTTTGGCTGATGCATGGATTATTTTACCACTTAACTGGGTTACACAGTGACTACGAATACATTTCTGTCAGATGTAACTGATGATCAGTTTTGTCTTTAAGATAAATGAACTGGTAACTCATTGCAGCACATGTGAAAAATATTCAAGCTACATTTAAAATGCATTTGTAAAATGGAGACGCCTATCACTCCACAAGCAACAATTTCTGAAAAGCTATAGGTTGGCTACAATAACAGAAACTAAACTACATCCAACCCTAAAGATACAAAAGTTCCTGAAAGGAATACACAACCTACTTATAATATGTGATATATAAAGGTTACACTCTTCTTTAAAAAAAAAAACAAAACAAAACAACAATAACAACAAAACAAAATTCTCAGCCAGGCGCTGGTGGCTCACGCCTGTCATCCTAACTACTCAAAGAAGCTGAGATCCAAGGATCCCAGTTTGAAGCTGGCACAAGCAGGAAAGTCCATGAGACTAATTTCTAGCTAACCACCAAAAAGCGAAAGTAGAGCTGTGGCTCAAGTGGTAGAGCTCCAGCCTTGAGCAAAAAGGCTAAGGAACAGCATCTAGGTCCTGAGTTCAAGCCTCAGTACCAGCTCACACACACCCACAAACCACACACACAAACACACTCCCCACTTGCAGAAAGTTAAAAGCTTCTATAGTTCCTTTGCTAGGCAGTGCCGTGTAAAGCTATTACACAATCGTGGCTTAGGAGTACATGAAAGGAATATGACAAGTGAGGATTAAATATGATTAAGTGAGGAATATGACAACTATTTATAATTAGCAGCTTTCGTTTTGGATCTTTGTTTCAACAACAACAACAATAACAACAACAATATATTTGTAGTTTAACAAAAGAATATACATGCACATTAAATTTGGTACAAAGCAATAAACACAAGATTGGCACAATACATGCAGAGTGAGAATTCTCTTTCTCAAGCTAGCCATCACTGAATAACACACCATCCAACTCCTGCTTTCCAGATCTTTCCCCCCTATTATCACTGATGCTTAACATGCTCCTGCCACCATGAAGAACGCTGCCGCTTTCCTAAAGCATTTATCTGAATGCATGGTGGAAATGAGGCAGGATGGCCGTGCTGGGGCCCGTGGTAAACACGTAGGGCATGGGGGGCAGCGGGAGCTGGCTCAGGCTCACCGTGCCCATGGCGGTGCCCACTGCTATGGGAGGAGGCAGCAGCTGCTGCTGCTGCTGCGGCGGCTGCGGCTGCTGCGGCGGCGGCGGCGGTGGCGGCGGAGGCGGCAGCTGTGGCGGCTGCATCTGCTGCGGTGGCGGCTGCATCTGCATCTGCAGCTGCAGCTGCACCTCCTGCGGCAGCTCCTCCTGCAGCAGCTCCTCCTGCGGCAGCTCCCCGGGCAGCTGCATCTCCTGCGGCAGCTCGGCCTGCGGCAGCTCGGCCTGCAGCAGCTCGGCCTGCGGCAGCTCAGGCTGCGGCAGCTCGGCCTGCGGCAGCTCCTCCTGCGGCAGCTCCTCCTGCGGCAGCTCTGGCGGGGGCTGCTCTACACCGCTGGCCCTGGGCAGGGGTTCCCCGGGGCCCATGGGAACAAAGTTGTTCCCAAAGCCAGTGGGAGAGGGAGGAGAAGGCACCTGCCAGAAGCCCAGGAGGGGCGAGATCTCCAGCGAGGCCGGGATGGCCATACTCAGGGCATCCACCTGCAGCTCCTTGGGCAGGGAGAGCATGCCAGGCTCGATCTTAACCAGCTCGAAGCCCTGGTTGAGCTTGTGGGGCGACAGAGGCTCTTGGAGAGGCAACTCGTCGTACACGCCCATGTTGCAGAAGCCTTTGGGATCTGCTTTAAGGGGCAGGCCGGCCAGCGGTGGTGCTGGGTAACAAGTGGCACCCAGCTCATACTTGGGACCCTGCAGGGTCAGAGCCGGGGAGCCTGGGGCCACCATGGGGTGCATGGGAGCCAGGGGCTCCGGCATGGGTGGCATGGGCTGCAGGATGGGCTCGGGGGGACCGAGCGTGAGGCCCTGCAGGTCGGCGGGCAGGCTCCCCAGGAGCCCGCCGTGGGGCGTGGGCCCCACGGCGAAGGGCGGCGGCGGCGGCGGCGGTGGCGCCATCGGCGGCGCCTTGAACTGGAATGGAGGCGGCACCACGGCGGCGGCGGCGGCGGCCGGGAAGGGGTTCAGCAGCTCCCCGGCCTGCAGGCTCTCGCGCATCAGCTCCTGCGAGTGGGTCTTCTTGGTGTGGCGGGTCAGGTGGTCTTTGCGGCCGAACCTCTGGGCGCAGAACTGGCACAGGAAGTCCTTGCAGCCGGTGTGGACCACCAGGTGGCGGCGGACATCCTTGCGCGTGTAGAAGCTGCGCGCGCAGTGGTCGCAGCGGTGCTTCTTCTCGCGGGCGGCGCTGGGGGGCTTCTCCTCGGAGTGGGTTTTGAGGTGACTCATGAGCACCTCGGTGCTGCCCAGCTCCAGAGCGCACACCCCGCAGGTGAGGTCGCCGTTGTGCGCCGCGTGCAGCGCCACGTGCCGCTTGTAGCCCAGCACCGTGGTGTACTTCTTGCCGCACTCCTCGCACCCGTACGACATCTTGTTGGGGTCGTGGGTCTGCAGGTGGTTCTTCAGGTGGTCCTTGCGGTTGAAGGTCTTCTCGCAGTGCGCGCAGCGGTGCGACTTCTGCGGCGAGTGGGTGGCCATGTGTCTACAGAGAGGGCAAGGGGGGGAAAGGCGCGCGCGTTAAGCTGCTGTGGAAAAAGATCTGTCTTCCAAATACATCCCCTTTTGATCATTAAAACAACAACCACCACCACCCCCATGGATACAGGCATAATGCAATTTTATACCGTGTGTGTGTGTGCGCATGCACGCGCCCGCGTGTATGTTGGGTTACTGGAGCTTGAATGCAGGGCCTGGGCCTTGTCCCTTGGCTTTTTCATTCACATCTGAGTACATACCACTTGAGCTACACCTCCGATTGCAGCTTTTTTGTTTTGTTTTGTTTTGTTCACTTTGAATTGAAACCCCTTTGACAACTACCTCATGATAATAAAAAATATGATTAGAAAAGAATTATATGACCCTTTGTACTCATAAACTGCCCTGTTGAATGGAAACATCTTTGTACAACCACTTAAAGATCATTTTTGAATTATATATGTATTCTAAAAAGTAGTTTTCGTATGGGGATGCACACAAATTCATCTGCTGCAGAAGTGGGGGGGGGCGGTGGTTTAGAGCCTGTCAGAGGGCAAAGGCCATCCTGTTTAACAGGGTTCCCACATGGGCCCCATAAAGGAATACAGAGACAAAGCTGGCTTATAAACTTGGTACTTGAGCTCTTTGCTATGCAGCTTAGTATTAATGAGTAGGACTCCAAAATTCAGTCTTCTATTGTCTTTCTTCCCTTATTTCTTTGTGGGGGGATTTTAATCAGATTTGGTTTCATCTATCATTTGTGGGTAGATCGATACTGAGTTAATAACCCTGGACCTGTTTTTTTCTGATCCACTCTTTCCTTTCCTACACCTACCCCCCCCACACACTTATAGCGAAGCACATGTTAGAATTAGTATTTGAGCAACAGCACCATGCAGTTGTACCAGCCCCCATCTTTTAGAGATTTATAGTTCTTTCCTTTACCTGACAGACAATTCTTTCCTTTTTATTTCCCCCACTGCCCCATGCAAGCCCCAACGCAAAATATCATCATTTTATAGCTGAAATTACGTCTTTCCTTCCACCTCTTTCCTTACAACCCACGAAGCTACCAGGTTTAGTATGTTTATGGTCAGTACCCCCATGCCATGATCTTTGGGGAGCAAATGAATCATGTCATGGCCCTGTGAAGTGTTCACGCTGATGCTTCACAGTAAGACTTCCAACTTTGGACTTCAGCCTACTCTTCCAAGTTATCTTTTCTGGGCCTTCCCTGGCTCCATCTTACTGGACACATCCCTTGCTGTTCTGAAACCTATGCTCTCTTTTCTAGTTAAGCAAGTCTGATATTTTTTTCCTTCAGTTTCTGTTTATAAAATGGTGCAACTCTTGGGAAATGGGATGGAATGCTGCCTTATCATCCTTATTGAAATTTTTTAAAAAGAAAAAATCCCAACAAACTTAATGCATCCTGCCATCCACTGCTCCAATTCCTTACAAGTACATAGCATTACACCAGAGAGGCCACAAGGGCCAGGGCTGGGGCTGGGACAAGAGAGTCTGTATAAGTGTACAGCTTCTAGTTTCCATTTACTTCACAACCTTAACTGAGTAAAACATTTATCTTGAGCTACGACCTCCGAAATAGGGCTTAAGCTACCTTCCACAGTAATCCTGACTAATTCCACTCACTGCAGTAATGGATAGAACTTCTCTGTAATGAATAGAATTTGTTCCCCTGTCTTTTCCAGTATCTCCTCTGTAGTCTTAACTCTTCAACCACAGTGAAGGCACTGTCATGTGACTTAACTGCAGCTATGGCTGCCTGCAGTGTTTGGGGAATGATGCAAAACAGAGCCACTGCCAGAAAATTGGGGTGCACAGCCATCACTACACACTGCTACCATGACAACTAGAGAGTGGCCAGCGTACATCAGAAGATATTTGGCTTTTAGAATACTGAAGCATTTACAGGCTTATTTAAAAATTCAATTTATATGCCATGTTGTCTGGAATAGTGGTATTCTTAAGGGCCAGGGGAAGAATTTTTATCTTCCTTTTGTCAGGAAGGGTCTTTCCTCCAGGGCATTCCAAGATGGAGGGAGAATGTATTCCTGCCAATGCCTCTTGGATACAAAGTTGCGCTTGCTAATGCTGAGGTCGGTCATTGGATGCTCTGGAGATCATTTCAGGAAGCCAAGAGACAGTGGCATGGAAAAGAAGTGTACATTACTGGGACTTTTGCCTGTGTGGCTCCAAGGGCATCCTAGCAGCCTAGCACCTGGCTTTCACTGTCATGACCATTGTCTTGAGTGTGCAGTTTGTCTTTTCTATGATATTACTAAAAAATCCATTGGTGGCAGAAGCTACATCACATATCACATTTCCCACATGGAATTACCTAGTAGACACTCAAGAAACAAATTCACATGGCAAGTGAATTTGTTAAAAGAACGTGTCTGCTAAAGCAATGGTGTTTGTACCTTCTACTATGTCATCAATACCCCTAAAATCTGACTAGTTGTCCATCCATACCCAGTGTCTAGATGCCCCAAGTGAATGCTGTTTGTCCAGGTATCACAGTATTCCCACAGATGAAGATTTAAAGCATTCTTAAAAAGTGACAGCAACCCCATCTGGCCTCCCATCCCCTGGCTGGGGGGGGGGTGGAGGGGTGTGAGAAAAGCCACATAAAGGTCTGTGTGAAAAACGCACCCCTTTTCTGAAGCCTCTCACCTCATCAATTTGTATTTGGAAACAAAGGCTTTGCCACATTCATCCTGGGCACACTTGAATGGCCTCTCCCTGGAGTGGGAATAATTGTGGATGGTGAATTTCTCCAGGGTGAGGAAATTCTTGCCACATATCTGGCAGTGGAAGGGGGCCATGGGTTTCGCTTTTCACACTTTCCTTTTCAGATATGCGAATCAAATGCTGTGCCATTTAAGCATTATTGGCAGACAGGTGTGGACACATCAGCACAATCGCTGCAGGTAGGCTCCAGAGCAGAGAGGAGGTTCACCCAGACAGAGTTCTCAGCCAGTCTAGCTTTGCTTCCTGCTTCTCCACGTCCAAGACTTCTTTGAAAGCTGAGGAAGAGAGCTGAGAGTCAGAAGAGATCTGGGTGCCGGAGGCAGGTCTGCGGAGACAAGAGGAGGACTTTTCCTGCATCAGCCCATTGAAAAGCATGCTTTTCCTTTCTACCATTTCAGAGTCAGTGACTTACAATGAACACATTCCTTCAATGGCTCCACCAAGTACAAGTGCCCACCCTCCCTGCATGCTTCAAGAGGCTCTTCTGCACAAACATCTACCCGTCTGCTTCTCCTGATGGGTGAGGCATCAAGCACGTGCCCAATGCTGATGGCCCATGAAGAACACTCTCATTTGTGCTGAGGACAGCTCTTATAGATTCAGCATCATTACCTGATGATTTCAGGTCAGTGGGAGGCTCAACTGATCAATTCAAAGGAAAAACCCTCCCTTTGCATGTTAAGAATATAGAAACCGACAAAATAATCACCCCTCTTCTTCAAACCAGGAGCTCTTCATCTATTGTTAGCATAACATACATTGTTTGAGACACCTGTTTAAACTTCCAGAGGAGAAGAAATGATTTGTGTACATCAAAGTTAATTTGTTTGTAAGATCACTATGTACAAGGACTGTTGTAAACAGAACTCTACTTGCACTGATGTGGTGATAGGAGATAAAATGTTCCCATGGAAACAAGACTGATGGCTCCAATCAAAGTGCAGGCCACGATCTGCAATTGTGGGTGTGTTATCATCTAGAAAACCACCCTATCCGTCTCTTCCCCTTTTGTTTATGTCTCCTCCAACTCAACCTGTCTCAAACCCAGGCCATTATGCTCCTTCATCTCAACCAAAGTTACCAAACACTAGGGACTTGTTTTTCTACTAACAGAGCATCATTTGAAGAGCCGTAAGTATCAACAGCATAGCAAAGCCTGGATCCCTAGAACCGTGTGCCATTCAGGTGGGCAAGTGCTGACCTTCCAAGTGCCACTGCTTAGAGTTGAGAATCCAAAATCCAAAGTGGAAAATCCAAAATGTACCATAATCTGACGCTTCTTCTGAGGGCCAACCTGATGCTTTGCATGGAAATAATACCACACTTGATCTCATACAGTAAGTCTCAGTCAGACCACAAACATCCTAAAAATACCAAATAAAATAACCTCAGGCTATGGTATAAGCTATACATGAAACAGGAATGAATTTTGTACTTAGGCTTGGGTCCTCTGCACAAACCAGCTCATTATGTCTATGCAAATATTCCAAAATCTAAACAACAACCCCATAAAATGAAACACTTCTGCTCCCAAGCATTTTGGATAAGGGTGACAGCCTATTGGGAAGTTAGATAAAATGTTATTTTAATAATAGTTCAAGAACCTTTTAATATCACCAGTATGTCATACATACACATAAACATATGTTCCTAATATAACTGGTCAAAAACAAAAAGCAAAAAACGAAAAAGAAACTTGTAGCGTTCCCCATCTCCTAGTTTAGTGTTTGGGCAGAGGTCACCTTACCAGGCAAATATTCTCATCATCCTGCCTCAAGCACTTCAGACAAATAGTGCTGACTTAACACACTTTGACCAGAAGGTTTGGCACTAAACCAAAGCACAGAGATCTTCAACCAGTATCTTAGCAGCAAATCTTTTTGGTAATCATTTCCATTCTAGCAGTATGCACAGCCTTGCTCCTCTGCCCCCAAGTATGACTTTAATTGGACATCTACCCTGGCTCTGTCCAAAGCCCTCTTCTCTAACCCCTCATTCCTGTCCACAAGCCCAGCTCATGCCACAGCTTCTTCCCTGAGGCGGCCTCAGCAGCTCTGGCTGCAAGATTCCTTCTAGGAATTCCATCGTGGCTGGCAAGCTTGTGCTACCAGGTCTCATGATCTGCCTATTTTTCATCCAGCCCAAGTCTGGCCATAGTACTAGGCCAGCTATTTAAAAAAAATACTCATTCATTTGAAGTTGCTCTGTGTTCTTTCCAGGTCTAATTTTTTTTTAAAGACTAAAACATGCACAGATTACAAAGTTGGAAACATATCTTTTCCTCTTCCTTTTAGAGCTAAACTCAAAATAGCAACTTGTCACTTTGTAGGAGCTGATTTGGTAGTGAAGGATCTGTGTTTTCCTCCTCCACTTACCAATTCCAGCCATGCACGCTGCTTTTTATTTATCTTAGTAAATTTATTCAGCCCAACTCTTGCTCTATGAGATTTACCAGTATGTCCAATAAGAACTTTCTGCGGTACGCTATATACACAGTGGCTACTACAAGTACTTGGAGTATGCCAATGCGAAACTGAGATGACTTTAACTTTAATTTAAATGGCCACACTGGCCTCTGTATCAAATACCAAGAGTTTCTCAAGGCAGACTCTTAGATTCCTTGTCAAGAGAGGCACAAAGCTGAGCTTTCCTTGGATGTGACTGTGATCATGAGTCACCCCCAGGTGATTTCCCTGAGGCCTGGCAGGAATTTATGTCACTTGTTTCAGGAGCCCAGTGGAAAGATTCCTCATTTTAAATGCCATCTTACCCAGATCACCAACATCCTGACTTTCAGCCTCCACGTGTGATGTTCCCCTGATGCATGTATGTAAAGGGACCATGAACCAAAAGAAAATGACCTAATCTAAAAAAAAATACAAAAAACAAAACTGCACCATACAAACATATAGTATCTATGGAGCACTGTGATTAAACATAGACCCATGTGTCAATGTACAGTGAATAGTTCTATTTAGCAAAGGACAGGATGGAGACTTGACATTGGTCTCCCTATGTCTAAACCAACCATTATGCATTCTGGAAAGAGCCAGTGACATGGTGCCGAGGCCTGCAGGAAGAATACAAGAAGTGGCAAATGAAAGGTCTGCATGTTTTGTTTTGTGGTAGATGTAAACCTTGAATTGCTTGTTTACTAACCTACCAGCACACAGGAAAAATAAGATCTATTAGAGTTTTTAATTTTGTCCTTCAGCATTGTAAAGTTTTTCAGTCATTTTCTGATCACTTCTTCCCTAGAGTCAAAATTCCAAAAGTCGGGGACATCTCATGCCGCCATTTCCCTTAGGGTTTCAAAAAGTACAAAAAGAGTACCAGACATAAGGTGCTTCAGCTTTCTCAAACAGCTGCCTCTCAAAGTGTTTTAGACTTCAACTTACTTCATGAACATCTTTCCCTGACACATTATCTTGCTGAGTTACAGGGCTGTGATCAACACACCCAGCCTAACAGAAAGCCCAAAGCAGATCCTCAAATGATGAACTGAATGAATGATATCATAGTAAGCATCCTTTCATTTCTTCAGAGCATCATTAGGGATGAGCTCACATTCACGAAATAGATAGAATCTAGTCACTCTGACCTTAAAATGCAAATATTTGCACTGTTGTCATTATTAGATCACAAACTTGGGCTGGGAAGGTGGCTCAGTGGTAGAGCACTTGCCTTGCATACCTGAGGCCCTGGGTTCGATTCCTCAGCACCACATAAGCAAAAAGAAAAAAGCCGGAAGTGGCGCTGTGGTTTAAGTGGTAGAGCGCTAACCTTGAGCTGAAGAGCTGAGGGACAGCGCCCAGGCCCAGAGTTCAGGCCCCACGACCGGACCCAAAAAAAAAAAAAGATCACAAACTTCCATAAAAGTAAAATAGCCCCTCCCAACAAACTATAAATTCTTGGTGGCTGAAGATAAAAGCTTAACTATTAAAATAAGTAAACCATGTGGATATAACAAATAACTCTTGTCAGTGCGCACTTGATCAGACACCGGCGGCGTACTGATGACTCCAATCTCTGGTTGAGATCCAATGTGCTTTCTGGCCATATCCTCGAAACAGACTTATGGTTACGTTCTACTGTCTGACAAATCCCCAGCAATCCTAATCGAGAGCTGAGGGTGATCTGTTCTGGGCCTTAATGTACAGAATGCATTTGAATCTTAATCATGGCACTATTTCCACACCTGTCACCCTGGAAAGATAGTTAAGTCCCCCCCCCCAAAAAAATCTCAGGACATAATTTGCAGTCCCCTTGATTCTAAAAATACTGAGTGAGTGATACAGATCTGCCAGGATGCCAAAGAAGGCTTGAGCCATCTGCTTCATTCTACTCATGCTGATATTTTGGGGGATGAGAGAGGATCAGACTGGACTAAGAACATATATGTGTGTGTGTGTGTGTGCATACACACACATACATACATACATACACACACAGATATACATGGTAACTAGCCAGGAAAGACTATGTTTCCTGGGAGGTGCAACAGTGAACATCAATGTAGATCCAGGATTTCCTTGGTGCTGTGTAACAACATCATCTGATAGGGAAGGGGAGGAGGGGGACAAATGTTTATGACCGTCTCAGAATGAACTATGACTTCTGGCTTTTATTTCCATTGTCCCCAGTGACATCGCAAGGCACATTTCTCAGAAGAAACTGAAGTTCTACTCAGGGACTTCCACGAAGTGGAAGTGCTCTAAAAAGGTGGGTACTGGTGGCTCACATCTATAATCCTAGCTACTTAGGCGGCTGAGATGTGAGAGTCACTGTTCAAGGGCAGCCTGGGCAGGAAAGTCTGAGAGAGACTCTTAGCTCCAATTAATCAGCCAAAAGCTGAAAATGGAGCTATGACTCAAGTGGTAGAGCATCAGCCTTACGTGGGCAAACACCACCATACTGGACCCATGATATTTTTATTTTTATTTTGGTCCAGTCGTGGGGCCTGAACTCTGGGCCTGGGCACTGTCCCTCAGCTCTTCAGCTCAAGGCTAGCGCTCTATCACTTGAGCCACAGCGCCACTTCCGGCTTTTTTCTTTTTGCTTATGTGGTGCTGAG